CCATCTCTTCTTCATACCTATTTCTCTACCTGTGAAACAGGAGGTCATCCTGGCTGGACCCAACCACTTCCAACTTTCTGTGTTTGAGACCTGGTCGGCCTGGAACTTGCTAGGTAGATCAGGCTGGCCTTAAACTCATAATGATCCACCTGCTCTGCCTCCTGAGAGCTGGAATTAAAGGTGTGAGCTACCATGCCTGGCTTCCAACTGCTTCAATCCTGAGTACCTCCAAGTCTGACCACTCCAAGAAGTTTTGGGGCCAAGACCACAGCTCAACCTTGCTCCTACTCTTGATATCACAAAGGACAAAAGCTCCACTGCCAGGTACATGGAACATAAGAGATCTAAGAACAGTATGAACAATGCCACAGCTGCCACATGTCTCTGCTCACGAGGTGCTACTACTCTGGTTATACAGATAGCACACAGAAGCCAAAAGAAAAGAACAATTTACATTCCCAGAGCCCAATGACTGCAAAGATGAACACAAACCCAACAAAGGACCTCTATCCTTTGAGGAGCATGCTTAATGACATTACTTCTGTCCATGGACTGGGCTAGAACACTCTCACACTTGAGATACAAGCAGGGTACTGTACATCCTCCAGAGGGAGAAGGTTAAAGTCCATGTCAGCTCAAAACATGTTCACTTGACCCAGAGGAAGAGTGTTCTTGTGGCAACACATCAAGTGCTTCAATCCCCACTGCCTAACACTCCTTCACACAATCCACTCCAGTGCCTTGCCCTTGCACAAGAACTCTTCCTCCAGATGGCCACAGAGCCCACTACCAAACTTTAGGACTTTTCAACTCTCTCCATTAAAAGCTGTGAGTGATGCTGGAGGCAGGGGGATCACTCATTAGGACTTTTCCAACTCTCTCCATTGAAAGCTGTGAGTGATGCTGAAGGCAGGGAGATCACTCATTAGGACTTTCCAACTCTCTCCATTGAAAGCAGACTCCCTTCCCTACCCCTCTTTGGTTTACTCTCTCCATTGTGACTCTCACTACCTGACATGTCACGATCATACTGGTCCCCCCTCTTGAGCTAAACCCCACTAGATCAGGTCTTTCACTGGCCATATATTGTTGCTGCAGAAGGGCGGGGGCGGGTCTTGTCTAGGGAAAAAAAAGCATCTAGTCACAACTCTGCCCAAGGGCTCCAGACTGTATGTTTTGTGACCATGCACACTAGAAGAATATCACCTGAGGGATTTCTTAAACATGAGCTTCCCTCCAGACATCACCAACTAAAACAGCTGCAGGAGTGAATAAAATAAGCAGAGAAGAAGGAAGCAGGCTAAAGAAAAGCTAAAGGTAATGGGCCAGACCTGCCCTGGGAGCTGTGACTGCCCCAGGCAGACCCGAGGTGATGCCAAGAGACTCTTGTCTTCTCCACCAGACACCAGGGGGCTACAGAAAACTTAAGCCTCATTCCAAGGACAAGATGTCTAGCTACATTTTAGGAGGATAAAAAAAGAATTCCTTCAACCCACTTGAGACTGCTCTCACAATGGCAAGCACGTGGCCTGCTATGGCTGAGTGAAAAGGGATATGCACTAAGATAAGCTTCACAGCAACCATGAAGCAGCTATGGGAGGCATGGAGGGAGGGGCTATGGAAATCCACTTGGCCTTCAAGGACTTAAATGTGTAGCTTATTATCCCACCTCCTCCCTCATGTCTCAGTCAAGGATTATCACAGCTCTTAGCAATCACTCAATATCCTCAGTGGCACCATAGAGGCCTTCAAGGCCGCACTCATGCTGTGCTCTGGCAGAGGTCACAGAAAGCACCAGAAGAAACCTTAAGGTGGCACTAAGTCAGCCCTCACTGGCATTTAAAACATCACTGAGGTTGAGGCTAGGGATGCAGCTCAGTTGTTGAAGTGTTTGGCTACTTGCAAGGTCCTGGGGTTTATCCCTGGCATTCAGGATTGGGGGGTGGAGGGTCGAGTCACCTTACTTCCTTTGCTATTTCTTTGGACCCATTCTAAATCAGCAGAAATGGACACCTGGCTAAAACTCACATGATCGAAAAGTATTCCCCCAACTTATGCCTCAGTCACTCACATCCTTCCTCTCAGTCACTCAGCCAAACAATCTGAGCCAGACAGTCAGAAGGAAACAGAAAAACTAAGCATGGGCATAAAGACTTCTACCACCACAGCAAGAGAAAACCATAGATGAGAAATATAGGCTTTCTCCTCCCTTCTTGGGACTCCATGGGCTTCCTGTCTTTGAAGATCCTCTTCCTCTAATCTTAAAGGTAACCTCTTCTGATCACAGTTCCTTCAAGATACATTCTATTCCCAGTGACTTAAAAGCCTTCATGCTACGGATGTGATCTCACAGCACTTCTACCCCCTTCTCTCACGCCCCCACAGGTCTCAAACAGGTTCTTCCTGGGAGGCTGGTGGCAAAGACTCAGGGAACAAAGCCACCCGCCCTCAGGAGAAGAGCCTATTCTGTGAGCGTGAGGCACAGCTGGCTTCTCACTAAGGCGTCTTTGTGGAGCTTATCAAAATGAAATAAAAGAGAAAGCTTTTGTTCTAATTCGTGCCAGGGTCCTGCTGTTGTTCTGGGAACATGTGGGTGGGTGCCACCCGCATGGAGAACACAGGCATGAAGAGGCATTAGGAGCCCTGATGGTGTTCTGGGTCCCACAGCCATCTGTTCTTTTAGGAAGAGGCTCCAGACACTCTATAGAGTCAGTTCACCAAGAGGCACAGCAAATCATTTCTGCCTACATGCTGGTACCTGGTTTTCAGCAGCAGTAAAACATAGGCTAGGCAAGGATGAGGGGCAGTCTTGGACACAGACAGAGGGAGCCAGGCACTTTAGTGTGGCTGCTGCAAACCAAAGGTAAAGAAGACCGTGGGAATTCAGGGAACTGCCCACTCACCCACATCCCCAACCCCTTAAAAGTCAGTGGTTCTCAACCTGTGGGTCATGACCCCTTTGGGGGGGGGGGGGCTGAACAATCCTTCACAGGGGTTGCCTAAGACCATCGGAAAACACAGATATTTACATTACGATTCATATGAGTAGTTATGAAGTAGCAACAAAATAATTTTATGGTTGGGGGTCACCACAACATGAGGAACTGTATTAAAGGGTCACTGCATTAGGAAGGTTGAGAACCCACTGCCTTAAACACATGTTTAAAAAAAAAAAAAAAACAGCAACAGTATTCTTTTTCAACTTGCCATCAAAGACAACTAAACTGATGATTCTTCCTCTACTAGCCCTCCCAGACTAAGGCTGTGGTCACAGCATAACACGACAGCTACTTGAACGTCCAAACCACCCTGCACTTTTGTTCATGACATGAGTCTGCTCTCTCCAAAGATGGATTTCAATACCCTTCCCCCACTGGCAGCTTTTTAAGGTTCTAGCCCGTAACTCCTCCCATCTCCTGTCCACTTCTCCACTCAAGAAGTCACAGAAATAAGCAAGCGTCGAAAGGAGGGTGAGAGTTGCCTTTCCCCTCTTCTCACTAAGTCATTTCCCTCAAGAGAGGGATCCTCCCCTCATCAGGGAGACAAGGCAACTTGAGCCTGAACAGCTTGGCCAGATCAGCCAGAAAAAAAAAGGTGGGGGTGGTGACAGTGGAGGGGAGGAGGGAGAAGCAGAAGAAACAGAGGAAGGATGGGGAGGGGGACAAAGGAAAGGGTGGGAAAGGGAAGGCGCGGGAGGGAAGCCGATTCCAATCAGCTGTGGCTACACCACTCAGCCTGGCTATGAAGTCACAGCCAGCTACCCTCCCCCTCCCCAACCCAGAAGGACCTTGTAAGGGCATGGAGTAAAAGATGGTCCCAGGGCCAGCAATCCTAATGGTCTTGAAGCTTGAATTTTGGCTGAGTGTGCACGTCTTTAAAATTTCCTTTGATTTTAGTTACTGTGTACTGCACTCACGACCCCCCAGTTTCCTTTATCATTAAAAGGGGGGGTGAGAAAAGTCTCTATTCCTAGAAAGGGGAGACTGGGAATGACATGGTGCATCCTTTGGTCTGGTAATCATTGCTACCCAGGCTGAGATTTGCAAGTGGGTCAAAGAGAGAGAAAGAGATCTTGCATTATCTATTTCCTGAAGGGCACATGAAGCCACAAGAATGACTTAGCAAGTGGGTCGTTTCCCACCCGCCCCAGAAAGATGAATTCAAGGGTTCTCCCAGGAAAGGGTGGCTAAGCAGACTAGGAATCACCTCCCCTTCTTAGCTACTAAAGGGAGAAAGAACCCCAAAGCACGGAGAAGGTATCCACCAGGACTCGGAAACGGTTCAAATCTCCCTGAAGGGTCCCTGGCCGGGAGCTCTTGACCTCCGCCAGGCGAGGAGCTCGCCCTGCCTCAGTTTCCTCGTCTGGGCAGTAGGCCCCCTGCAGCATCTGGGGGGCCGCGCACCGCTCAGGGGATATGAGCCTGCGTCTGCCGGATGCCCCGCTCGGCCCGGCGGGCCCAGTCTGTCCCTCGGGGCGCGGCCACCGCCCAGGCCTCGGCCGCCGTCCACGCGGCCGCCACGCCCCGACCTCCAGCCACTGCTCCCCCCGACCCCAGCGCCCGGCCCCACCCGGCCCGCCCGACTCACCCGTGTAGTGCACCACGCAGGTCTGGCCGCGCTTCGGGAAGGTGCGCCCTGAGGAGAGACAGACGGCAGGTGAGCGGCTGCGCGTGGCGGCAGGGGAGCGGGCGGCGGGCGTCTACTCACCGTCTCCGGGAGAGATGGTCTCCACCTGCACTCCCATGGCGGCGGCGGCGGCGGCGTTGGCGGAGGAGGAGGAGGAGGAGGAGAAGAAGGACGCGGGCGGCGGCGCGGCGGGCGGCGTGGAGCCGGAGCGGACCTGGCGGCGGTTCAGCGGCTCGGCTTCGTCCCTCGGCGTGTCGCCTGCGCACGCGCACGGCAGGGCACGGCAAGCCCCGCCCTCCCTGCTTGCGCCGGGCGCTCACGTCTCGGAAGCCCCGGCGGCGGGGCGGAGGGACCGGAAGTCGGCCGGCCGCAGACCACCTCCCGCCCTCCACCCCGCGCCGGATGCAGCTGCGACGGCAGGCTAGTCGTGCTGGCTGCTGCCGGTCTTTCTGTACGTTTCTCTGCCTCTGAGGATCGCAGTGATAACGGGGTCCACCCGTCACTTAGAGATGCTTCCCACTTCTGCACAACTAATTGTCCTGTACAGACGATAGCTGTGAGTAGGCTTTGTGTATGTGGAACCAGGTTAACGTTCGAAAGTGGCCCTAGGTTCCTTCCGTGCTCCCCATTGGAAAAGTCAGTGTTAGACACTGCCCTGCATGAAAGCCCCCTTTTGTACGAGTATATGGAGATATAGCCGGGCATGGTGGCGCACGCCTTTAATCCCAGCACTTGGGAGGCAGAGGCAAGCGGATTTCTGAGTTTGAGGCCAGCCTGGTCAACAGAATGAGTTCCAGGCTAGCCAGGGCTACACAGTGAAACTCTATCTCGAAAAACAAAAATTTATCACATATATATGTGGAGATACATATAATATGTATCTGAATGCTTGAACCCCCTCCTCACACAAGCTTCCAATGGGACTCTGAGGATTTTGTTTGAATACCTTCATGAACAGATCATCTACTACTTTCAAGAATTAAAACCTTAAGGGGTTGGAGAGATGGCTTAGGGATTAAAAGCACTAGTTACCCTTCCAGAGGACCTGGGTTCAATTCCCAGCACCCACATGGCAGCTCACAACTGTCTGTAACTCCATTTCCAGGGAATCCTACAATCAGTGTACAGACACACATGTAAGCAGAACACCATTCATATCAAATAAAAAGGTTAAAAAATACAAAAAAAAAAAAAAAGAAGAAGAAGGAGAAATAGAGACTGGAACCTTTGGAGGGAGAGCTCTGTGAGTAAAAGAACCCCTGGGGATGGGAGAAAGAATTGGCTTGGCTGTTCCTGTGGGTGGGTGAGTGAGTGCTGGAGGTCCACCCTGAAGTTCATTTTGTGGAAAGAAGATGGAGGTGAGAGGCCCTACCGTGTAGAGGCATGGCTGAGACATGACTGAGGACAGTTTATACGACACACGGCAAAAGGTTCAGCTAAAGGGAAATGATTCAAAGCCAGGCACACGTTTGTGGTGGACATTTAGGGTAGATGCCTTTTCTTAACACCAAACGTTGAATTCCGTAGTTAGGAAGCACTCCTCTACTTTCCAGCCCATAATTTATAAATGTAGCTAATATCACTCAGCGCCAGAAAGGGGATGTGACCCATTCTGGCCATCTGGAGCCACACAGTCCCTAGAAACTGGTTGATGTAAGGACTTATGTTTTAGTCTGTTCAGGCTCCTGTCAACAAAATACCATATACTAGGTCGTTTTAAACACCAAAACGTTTATCAAGGCGGAGGTGAGTGGCTGGAGAGAGTGCTAAGGGGTTAAGAGCTAGCACCCAGGTGAGATGATTCACAAACACCTGTACTCCAGCTCTAGGGGATCCAACATCCTCTTCTGGCCTCCACGGGCAGTGGAACATACATGGCATACACTCACACAAAGAACAACAACAACAAAAACCCTAAGAGCTGCGTGAGGCGGCTCAGTAGGTAAAAGCACTTGCTGTGTAAGTCTGACAACCTGAGTTTGATCCCCAGAACCCGTGGTGAAAAGAGAGAACCATTTCCTAAAAGTTGTCTGTCATCTCACCTTTGTACACACACCATGGGGGACACACACACACACACACACACACACACACACACACACACGAATAGTAAGTAATCTTTTTTTTTTTTAATTCTCATGGTTCTGGAGCCCAGGAAGTCTAAGCTAAGACAGATTCTGTGTGTAGTTAGTGAGAGCCTGCTTTCTGACTCAGCGCTTTCTTAGTGGGTCGTTGTGGGAGTGGCGAGTGGCCTCTCTCTGGTTTCTAACCCTCTCTACACCAGCCCTGCCCTCACCACTTACTGACCTTCCAAAGGACCCACCTCCAGTCAGTTTGGGGGATGGGACACAAACATACAGTAAGCAGCTGTGATGCAGAAAGGATGCTTCAGGCAGTTTGGGCTGCAATAACCAAATACCAGAAATGGAGAGGTTGTGTTGTCCCCATGTGTTGCCGGGGGTTGAACTAAGGGCTTGTTTTCACCGAGCCACAATTTCCCCAAATTGGACGGTGTAGATAACAGAAATTGATTTCTATCACATCTCTGAGGACTGAAAGTCTAAGATCAGAATGCTTGCATAGCTGGGTTCTGGTGAGGCCTGTCCCTGGGTTACAGACTGCTAGCCATCTTCTTGCTGTTTCCTCACATTGGTTAGGGAAGGGGAGAGAGAACTCTCTAGTATCTCTTAGGAGGACTAATCTCATCAGAAGGATCTGTTTTATTTAATTCTTAGTTGCTTCCCAAAGGCCGCATCTCCACATACCATCACATTTGGGGACAGGGCTCCAGCATATGAATATGAGAGATGTAGTTCAGTCCATAGCACAGAGTTAAGGAATTTTTAACTGTTGTTATGGGAACAGCTAATGATGAAAACAGCCCTGAGGAATGTGACTAGAGAATCTATATTTTTTTTAAGGTTTATTTATTTATTATGTACACAGAAGAGGGCGCCAGGTCTCATTACAGATGGTTATGAGCCACCATGTGGGTGCTGGGAATTGAACTCAGGACCTCTGGAAGAGCAGTCGGTGCTCTTAACCGCTGAGCCATCTCTCCAGCCCGAGAATCTATATTTCTAAAAAATTCCAAAGCAATACTCATATTAGTTGCTTTTTGGGTCTCTGTAAATATTGTAGTCACAGAGGGAGGAAAGATTTATCTGGGTTGTTGCAGTAGAGGATTTCAGTCATCATGGCAGAAAAGTAGCATGTAGCAGAGACTGTTCACGTAACAGTGGACCAGGAAGCAGGGAACCAAGCAGGAACCAGGGGCTGGATGTAATCTTTAAAGGCCCACTTCTAGTGACCTTCTATAATCTATGGAACCTAAAGATTCCATAGCTTCCCACAGCATTATCACCAGCTGGCAAATAGCATCTAAAATAAGAACATATAAGGAACGTTGTATACTCAAATTCTTTAAACCATGGAAATCTTGTTGGCCTGGAAACCACGTTTGGGAAAACCACTCATATAATGGAATAGCTGACTCCTGAGATTGAAACAAAGAACCTAAGTGAAAAAGAACCATGCTAGTAAGTTCTATGAGTCCACAGGAAATGTAGTTCCCACTTTCAGCTCCCAAATGGAAGGCATCAAGGTTCCATAACTACCATTCTCAGATAACCTCTAAAAATGCCTGTCATATTTCCCCTTTCTGTTGTCCCCAGGCAGAACTCAGGGATCTTACCAAGCCCTGTGTCGTCTATTTGGAAAATCAGAAAAGACTTCACTCTCTTTCCTAGTTTGCTTGCAATGCTGTGAGAAACACCATCACCAAAAGCAACTTGGGGAGGAAAGAGTTTATTTCCTCTTACAGTCCACGATGAAGGAAACATCAGGAACTCAAGGCAATAACCTGGAAGCAGAGAGCATTGAGGAACACAGCTTACTGGCTTTCTTCCTCTCCATGGCTTGCTCAGCCTTGCTTTCTTACACAACCCAGCACCACCTGCCTGGGGATGGCACTGTCTATACTGGGCTGGTCTCTCCCACATCAATGGTTAATTTCTGACAGGCCAATCTGATGGGAGCGCTTTCTCAACTGCAGTTTCTTCTTAGCAAGTAACTAGCTGTGTCGAATTGACAAAACCCAACCAGCACACTCCCTCATGCTCTTGATTCTGACATGCTGTCTCCACAGCTATGGAAGTCATGTGTGCTGGAATTTCCTGGACCATTTAGGGGAGAAGAACAAGCCTTAATAACCATGAACTCAGAGGTTAGATTGGAAATTGTGGTCATGGTGGCCATAAACAGGGACTTCGAGCTCCAAGGGAGTCACAAAGCACTGTGACCAAAGAAAAAGATGAGAAACTCAACTACCCTTCAAGGTCAGGAAGGTCTTCAGGCTCCAGCAAGGAGAGAGGCAGCTGAGTCAACAGCAAGAAGTACAGTGAGGGCTGTGGGGGACTCTGAGTGGTAGAGTGTTTGGCTAAACCTGTGACCCCCCCCCCCCAAAAAAAAGATGAATGCAGTGTTTGTGGTTTTAGATGTTTCGCATATGCAAATCCCTAAGCCAGAGCCCAAACTCCAAATCTATTGCGAAAGGAACCAATTCCAGAGGGACCTGTTACTCTCGTTTTGTTCTTTGGTGGAGAATCTTGTAGCCCAGGCTATCCACTATGTAGCAAGAATGACCTTGAAATTATAATCCTCCTGCCTCCATCTCCCAAATGCTGGGATTATAGGCACGTCTGGGTTTATATGGTGCTGGTGATCCAATACAGAGCTGTTAGTACACAAGCAATCTACCAACAGCTCCATCCTCAGCCGAAGACCATGTTATTCTTGACAGTTTCTCAGAAGGTACCACAGTGGAGACATGTTTTGCTTCCTCATGATTCCAACAGAAGGCATTTGTCCTTTAGCCACTTTCTTAGTGAACACCGGAGTCTGTGGTGTGTGACAGAGACCTAAGCTCAGAGAGCCTCCATGAAAATGGAATGTTTTCTCCTCGAGTCCAGTGTCTGTGGAGGGGTTGGATCCTTGAAGGTTCTATGTGCACAGGTCACAGATCATCTCCGTGTCCTGGAGGAGACTTGGTACAGTAGACCCACTCTGGTGCCAACCTTGTAGGTGGCAGGGACGAGACATCTACTTACTTGTGAGTTACTGATCCCTAGCATCCAATGGTCATGGGGTGAGTGTCAGCATCTGATGGTTTCATTCTAAGTTCCCAAGCCTAGGGTAGCCTCTCTCCATTGCCAATGGAACCTCCAAAGGTCCAGGGTCATCTTCACTCCAGCTTCTCAGTGGAGAATGAAGCCAAAAGCTCAGACTTCCATTGTTAGGGTTCCTTCTCTGTTTTCCAGGACTATTCCCTCCCAGTGGTTGAGAATTAAGGATTGTCACGCCTAGAAAGTTTGGCAGGGAGGTAGAAGAAAGGACATCATCAACATTTTAAGACTCCATAACTAAATGGCTAGAATCATGGTTCAGTGGGCTGAGCATACTTAGTAAGTACACGCATTGTGTGAATACTTGAACACAACAGGTTTATTTCTGTCTTAGAACATTAGGGCCAATGCTCCTTCATGGCCGGTGGGTGCTACACTCTGTGTGACTATTCAGGGAGCCAGGATGCTTCTGAGTTTGTAGTCTTTAGCAGGTGGTTGCCACAGACATTCTGTTGTGACTTGGGTTCAAGGACAGAAGGAAAGGGAACTTGGGAGGTTTTCTTGGCCAGGCCTGAACAGCATTAGCCACCCAGCCATACTCAACTGCAAGGAAAGCCGGGAGGTGTTCCCAGCAAGGACAGGAGACTAGAGCTGGGTGGTCACATAGTGGCCTCTCTTGTAGAAGGTGTGTTTAAGAGCCTCCTCAACTAGACTTTTGTAGGGAACTTCAAGATTGTGCGAACAATCTTCATCTTTAAGCCTTGTTTCCTAAGTCAGAGGCAGTGACACACAGTGACAGTTGGTTACTAATGTTGACTGCTTGGTTCTTACTCAGTATTTCCAAGGAAACTTCACAGTTGGCATTCCATCCAGAGTCTTGTGGGAGAGAATTTCAGGCAGTGAGCAGGGCTGTTTGATTTGCTAATTAAGGCTTCAAGACACTGCCCTCTGCTCCAGAGGGTCCCACTTCTTCCTCACTTCAGAAGCAAACTTTCTTCAGAGATTAGGGGGTTTTTGTTTGTTTGTTTGTTTTGTTTTTTGTTTTTTGAGACAGGGTTTCTCTGTGTAGTTTTGATGCCTGTCCTGGATCTCGCTCTGTAGACCAGGCTGGCCTGGAATTCACAGAGATCCGCCTGCCTCTGCCTCCCGAGTGCTGGGATTAAAGGCGTGTGCCACCACTGCCTGGCCAAAGATTATTTTTTAAACTGTGTATATGTGTATTTGTATGTGTAGGTGTGTGTGCAGGAGAGTGCAAGTGCCTCTGGCCTCCAGACACCCTGGAGCTGGAGTTACAGGCAGTTGTGAGCTCCTCCACGTGCAGCTGGAAGTCAAAAGCAGCACTCACTGTTACCTGCTGAGCCCTGTCTCCAGCCCCAAGAACCAGGCTTTATTCAAAGCACTGCAGGGCTTGCAAACTCCCCATCCACTCCTCCTCCTCCTCCTCCTCCTCCTCCTCCTCCTCCTCCTCCTCCTCCTCCTGTGTGTGGGCTCCTTTGCTGCTAGAGGTTGCCATGTGAACAGCTCCAGCTGAGGAAGGCGGATGTTTTCTGACTAGGGCTCTGAAGAAGGCCATTGTATCCCTAAGAGAAAAGAGAAAGCCAGGTGCAGGGTATCACACGTGTGCTCTCAGAACTTGGTAATCAGAGGCGGGAAGATTGCTTCAAATTCAAGGCCAGTATGGCTACAGAGTGAGGCCTTGTCTCAGGCGAGTTGGTGCAAGAGGGGAAGAAGGGAAGGGGAAAAAACGAACAGGAAGGGAGAGTGGCGATTTGGTATTCTGCTCAGCCTGTCTCACTGTTGCCTTTTTCCTACAGAGGACATAGTCCCCGTGGAATGCCGCAGCCTCCATGGATCCATGAAGACTAGTATCACATGCCAGGGACCTGGAAGGAACTGTAGAAGGCCTAGGTCCTTAATAGTGTGACTGTCACTGCCCTTCACCTGGCTGGCCTCCTTCCAGACCTGTGTGAGAAAATAAATCCCTTATATGGTTATTCCAACATCCTTACTCAAGCCTCAAGCAGTTGAATGGCCTTTTTTTGTTTTTGTTTTAGATAGGGTTTCTCTCTGTAGCCCTGGCTGTCCTGAGACTTGCTCTGTAGATCAGGCTGGCCTCAAATTCACAGAGATCCACCTGCCTCTGCTTCCTGAGTGCTAAGATTAAAGGCGTGCACCACCACCACCTGTCTGCTAAATGGACTTCTAACAGGTACAGGTTCTCCCTGAAAATTAAGCATCACTGCCTGGCTTACATGTTAGTCTCTGCTAAATTCAATTTTGATGGGTCTGTCTCCACAGATAGTTCCTGTTCCTATTGAACAAATGGATTTTTAAAAGTTTTATCTTCCTTGTCTATATCAAGATTTGAGGGTAGCCTGGGGTACTCGAGACCTTGTTTCAAAATTAGTTTACATTTTAATTCATTCGTTATAATTATACATGTATATGAGGTTCATCATAATTATACATATGTATAGGGTGCAGAGTGATGTTTCAATAGGTGGACACAATGTATACTGATAAGATCAAGGCAGTTGTTGGCATATCCTGCTCAAAGCTTTATCATTTCTTTCATTTTTTTTTTTTTTTTTTTTTTTGGTTTTTCGAGACAGGGTTTCTCTGTGTAGCTTTGCGCCTTTCCTGGAACTCACTTGGTAGCCCAGGCTGGCCTCGAACTCACAGAGATCCGCCTGGCTCTGCCTCCCGAGTGCTGGGATTAAAGGCGTGCGCCACCACCGCCCGGCCATTTCTTTCATTTTTATTTGTGTGGTGAACATCCAAAATCCCCTGTACTACCCATTTTGAAATGTACAATTAATTATTGCCAACCATATTTACTGAGCTGTGAAACAGAACATTAGCCGTTGTCCCTTCTACCCAGTTGTTTCCCTGTGTCCACCACCTGTCCTCAGCTCACTTCCCCTCTCCCAGCCCTTCCTTTACTCTGGTAGTTCTCATACTTGCTGCCTCTTAGAATCAACGGTTTTGGTTCTCATATAGACATGAGAATATATGGTGTTTGTATTTCTGTGCTTGGCTTATTTCACTTACCATAATGCCCTCCAAGCTTGTGTGTGCTGCCACAGATGACAGGATTTCATTCTCTTCTATAGACGAAGAATATCCCCATACACACATACATTTAAACACACACACACACACACACACACACACACACACACACACCATGTTTTCTCTAGTCATCTATCCATCCACCAATGGACATTTAGGTGGACTCTCTAGTCTGTTGTGATTAGTGTTGCATTACATCTGGGGCACACACAGCTCTTTGACTTGTTGATTCTTTGAATATACGCCTGGTGGTAAGATTGCTGGCTCACGTGGCGTTCTAGTTTTGGCTTTCTTAAATGAACTCCACGCTCTTTCCCATAGTGGCTGTATTAATTTACCTTCCCTCCAACAGAACTTGAGAGTCCCTCTCTCTCCCAACTTCACCAATACTTTTTTCATCTTTTTTTTATTATAGCTGTGCTAATCAACTTTCCATTGCTGCAACTCAAGATAATCAGTGTAAAAGGATGATATATATGTTTTGGTTCATTGTTTCAGAAGTTGCTTTGGACCTGTGACAGAACAGGCATGGTGGGAGCTCATGAGGACAGGGTCAGTGTACTTCAGGGTGGCTAGCAAGCAAAGAAAGGAAGAGGTTGGGGTCTAAATAGCTGTGGGAGCCCACAGAGGTTTCCTAGTGAGATCTGAGCTTGCTTTACACAGCAGGGCTGCATTAGGGAATGGCTTGACCATGTGCTTACCAGGTGTTTGGGATGGTCTGCACTTGGCTGTGCAGGAGGGAGGTCTTTTGCTTCACCCCTTGGCATTCCATTAAAAGCCCTCTAGTAGTGACAGAAGGGGCCAGTGGGTTTTGATCCAGGCCCTCCTAAGGCTATCCCATGTTTCTAACTGTCTCTCTCCTCTATATTTCTATCCACATATTTCTCACTTTTCCCTCCTCAAGAGTACCCTGGGGGAAAACATGGGAGCTGGTCTCCCTCAAATACCCATTCCAGGACAGGTTTCCAATGGCTTTTTTTTTTTTTTTTTTTTTTTTTTTTTTTTTTTTTTTTTTTTTTTTTTTTTGCCTTCTAGGCCCACCTTCTAGTCCTCACAAGCTCCCAGCAGGCTACAGCCTGGCACCAGACTTGTAGCACATTTGCCTTAGTGGGACTTAGATCTAAGCCAGAGCTATACCCATTTTAACTGGGATGATCACTATACTTTTAATGTGTTTCCCTCTTGAATGTTACATTGAGCAATTCTTCCATAAACTTGTTAGCCATTGTATATCTTCTTTTGAGAAATGTCTACTCAGATAATTTGCCATTTTTAAAGTGTATGATTTGTTTTTATGCTTTTTCTGCTGGATTGTTTGAGTTCCTTACATATTCTGAATGTTAATCCCTTGGCAGAGGATTAATTTACAAATATTTTCCTTATTTTGTACGTTATCCCTTAACTAAAATTCCATTTGTTGTGCAGAAGATACATATGGCAACAGCACAATTGGGCCCATTGCTTACATGCTAATGAAATTTTCAAGCATCCTTAGGGACCAAGCAAAGTAATTGTCACCCAGAGTCAGGAACATTTTAAAAACAGAATATGCTTCTCAGAGCCCTGGGTAGAAATGAGGACTCTGACATACTGGAAAGATTCCCAGTTCAAGGTCTTCCAAAGTACACAAAACTGCCCTGAAAGGCCAATAACGATGGGGGATTGTGACATACCTCATCTCGTGTATGTAAGTCAGTGAGCTGGAGGCGCTCCTCAAAGCAACAATAAAAACAAGTTGCATAGGCCTCCCTTGGTTGCTTAGAGGCTGCTGCAAGCCTAACTCATTGTTTGAAAAACTAGGAAATTAGGGAATAAGAGATAAAATTGTCCTGTGTTTAATATCTGATCAGCCAATTCCCTTATCAGATTACTCCAGGTCACCAAGGATGAAGAAATGATAGGATTAAAGCCACCATGCTGCATTGATTCAGAGCTCTTTTTTTTTTTTTTTTTTTTTTTGGTTTTTCGAGACAGGGTTTCTCTGTGTAGCTTTGCGCCTTTCCTGGATCTCGCGCTGTAGACCAGGCTGGCCTCGAACTCACAGAGATCCGCCTGCCTCTGCCTCCCGAGTGCTGGGATTAAAGGCGTGCGCCACCACCGCCCGGCAAATTACTTTTTTTTTTTTTTTTTTTTTTTTTGGTTTTTCGAGACAGGGTTTCTCTGTATAGCTTTGCGCCTTTCCTGGAACTCACTTGGTAGTCCAGGCTGGCCTCGAACTCACAGAGATCCGCCTGGCTCTGCCTCCCGAGTGCTGGGATTAAAGGCGTGCGCCACCACCGCCCGGATTCAGAGCTCTTATAACCAAGAAATATCTCTAATTCTACATGGCTGCCAGTGTCACAATGTGAAACAGAAACAGACACATTGTGACTGTCCACTGAAGTGCACAGTGGCCTTGCCATAAAACAGACAAAAAAAAAAAAAAACAAAAAAAACCCTAAACTTGAACATGCTCATTCTTCTTGGGAAACCCTGGAAAATCGGGCAGTCCTTTACAGTGCACTGCCTGTCCAGGCTCTTCCTGCAGCCTGAGTGATTTGAATCAATGCATCATGGCTTTAATCCTATCATTTCTTTGTCCTTGGTGATCTAGAGTAATCTGATAAGAGGATTGGCTGATCAGAATTAAACATTATGAGCATTATAAGTTCATCACATGGCATGTACCTGTGGTCCAGGTACTCAGGAACTTGCGGCAAGAGAATCACTTGAGTTCAGTAGTTCAAGACCAGCCTCAGCAACATAGCAAGAATCCCTTTCTAAAAAATTGTTCAAAAAAAAAAAAAACAAGAAAATGGGCAGTGTAAAATAAGCCCCCTCATATCTGTCCCTCAGCTATCCAGGTGTTCCCTCCCCAAACCACAATTACTTTAATGTGTCTTTTCAGAATGCCACTTGCATAGAGAGAAGCAGATACAACTTCATAAGCATTTTGTTTTGTATGAACAGTAGTGGCCACACACATTTTTTCTGCCCCCAACCCTGTTGTGGAATATTAATTTAAGATGTGTTCCATTTATTTATGCTGTGAAACATATCTTTTAGTGATACAACGATGTGTTGCATTCTTTTGTGTTGCATTTATTTAGCTCTGTGAAGCTGTTACTTTGCCTGTCTAAAGCACCTGATTGGTCTAATAAAGAGCTGAATGGCCAATAGCGAGGCAGGAGAGAAAAATAGGTGGGGCTGGCAGGCAGAGAGAATAAATAGAAATCTAGGAGGAGGAAGATCAAGGAGCGAGAGAAGGAGGAGGACATCAGGGGCCAGCCACCCAGCTACACAACCAGACATGGAGTAAGAAGAAAAGACATACAGAAATAGAGAAAGTTCAAAGCTCAGAGGCAAAAGATAGATGGAATAATTTAAGAAAAGCTGACCAGAAACAAACCAAGCTAAGGCCAGGCATTTATAAGTAATACTAAGTCTCTGTGTGTATTTATTTGGGAGCTGGGTTATGGGCCCCCAAAGAACCAAAGAGTAAAAAAACAACCAACAACCCCCGCTCCAGCCACGAGAGGGAAGAATACCCAGCATTTGAGAACAGGTCCTAAACTTTACGTCCACAGCCCATGTCTCATTTCTTTGGTGGGTTTTTGTTTTGTTTTGTTTTGTTTTGAGACAGGGTTTCTCTGTGTAGCTTTGTGCCTTTCCTGGATCTCACTCTGTAGACCAGGCTGGCCTCAAACTCACAAATATCCACCTGCTTCTGCCTCCCAAGTGCTGGGATTAAAGGCATGCGCCACCGCCCGGCCTCTTTAGTGGGTTTTAGTGTGAAGGAAACCAAGGAAAATCTGAACAAACTCCAAGACCCCCTCCCCCATTCATTCTTGGGAGGCAGGTGGGAGCTCGGGTCTCACATGTTCTCACACCTCATGAATAAACCTTTTCTTTGGCAAAACTTGTTTTGGCATACTGCACAGCAGGCAAAATAACCCTGCTTTTGTTTCATGAGGACTCTGAGTTACTATCCCTAAGGCTCTTGAATAGGCCCTGACAGAGGTCGTCTGGACTCCTAGAATCCCCTCACTACTGTGGGACAGCCTCCATTTTCACACACCAAGCTCCTTCCTGTTCTTTATGAATGACGGCACTGCATTCCACTACAGATATGCATCCTATGTCGAATAAGCATCTTGGATGATAGGTGTTTCAATTTGGCTGGGATCTTCTATTACAGACTGATGCAGGACTCTTCTCCATTCATGCCCCACTCAGCTCCCAGGTATCCAACTCTCCCCACCCTCTTGATCTTCCCAGAACATTCTTCCTCTGTTCTCCAGCTACCCGGCTCTCCTCCCAGGTCTTGTGGCAGGGTCTTCTTCTTGGAGAGGTCATGCCTGCATGAGAATCTTTTGCTCTTCCCAGTCTTGTCTCCCTGCATATCATACAGAGGTAGCTCATTATGCATTCTTGAGTCTGGTACAGGACAGGAAGTCACCAACCCTTGTTGACTGACTGATGGACACCCTAGAGTCCATTTCTCTCATTTGTTTTAGTATTCAAAGTCTTACAAGAGAACCTGATGTATGTATCTGTCTCTCTGTTTCTGTTTGTCTGTCTGTCTCTCTCTCTCTCTCTCTCTCTCTCTCTCTCTCTCTGTGTAGAGGCTCATCCACGTGAGTACAGGTGGAGGCCAAAAGTCAATCCCAGTGTCTTCCTCTATTCCCATTTTTTGTTTATTTATTTTATTTTGAGACAGGTTCTCTCACTAAACCTGGAATTCAATGTTTTGGCTAGACTGGCAGGCCAGTGAGCCCCCAGGCTTGGCCTGTCTCTGCTCATCCCCAGCCCAGAGTACTGAGGTACAGATGCATGTACTGTGCCCGCCTTTTCCGTGAGGGCTGGGGATCAATACTCAGGTCCTCATGCAGCAAGCAGTTTGCCCAATGAGCCCAGAAGAGAACTGCATTTTAAAAACTCTCTTCCTCTCTTCCTTTTGTGCTCACTCTCCCAGCTGCCTTGGGCAAGCTCTTTGTCTGAGCATCAGAGTCCACCCACCTCCTGTTCCCTTGGGGAATGCTCCAGCACAAGCTTCTTTCTGTTTGGTTAAATTTTCACCGAAAAGCTCTGAGGTAGATGCAGTCATTACCTTGCATTAGAAACAAGGGCATGAAGGTTCAGAGAGGAGAGCTTCTTGTCTAAGGACAGCAGCCAGCAAGGTGGGAGTGGGGGGTGGCTCAAATTCAGGTCCGGCTGAGATGCATGGGTTGTGTGCTAGTCACTTGTACCTGTATTCTCGGGGTCCTGGGCCTTTGGTGAGATTATTGTGATAATGCTCTTGGGACTTCTCCCAAACTCCACTTCTACATCCAGCCATCTGGTGGGGAAACTGAAGGTACCCACATGGCCAGTGTCTTTTTGTCACTGGTGACTTGGAGATCTGTCAGCCTGCATTTATGTTTGGGGTCAAGAGTTTGCTGATCAACCAACTTATAAGAGCCATGTGTGCCTCAGCTAGACAGGCTATACCCTCAGGTTCCTGATTCAAAATCATCTGATGGAGAATGAAGCCCTGGCTCAGGGGGTACAGGGTGCTGCTGTGGGCTCCCTGAGCTGACTCACATGTTAGTATGTCCCTGAAGTCCCCTCCCCACTTGTAGACCACTCAAGGCCTCCCTGGAGCTGGAATGTAATTGCCAAAGCTACCAGGCCTGGCTGACCTTGGCATACAGGAGCTGACAGATATGGAAAACTGTTATTGGGTGTTAAGGTAGGGTGCTGGGGGTTAAGCTGGGTGTTGATTCCTTTAATTGCACTCAGAGACCATTTTACAAATGGGCAAACTTCAGAGCATAGAATGAAAGGAAGAAGAGGAGTTTGAGCCCAGGTCTCTGAGGTCCATTCACAGCTTTGCAGTCTTCTCTACTCTCAAAGCCCAAGAAGGGACTTGACCCTCCTGAGGGTGAGGTGCTATCCCTGAAACTGGCTGTCTCTCAGATTAGACAGATGTTGGCTGGACGGGAGGCCAGCACTCGCCAGGGAATCCATTTGCCACGTCTGTGCATGGGTCATGCAGCATCCCAGACTGGCTCAGAAAGAGATGGATGAGGGAAAAGGATCTAGCTGGAATGGAGAGGCCATGACAGGGTTAACAGGAGGCCTGTAGTCATAAGACAGAGCTATACCCTGGATCTGCCTGCCTAGATTCTGGGGGCAGTCACCATGGCCAGCATTTGGGCAGTGTGTGCCACTGGGAAACTCATTTCAGCTCTGGGCATTTCCTAAGTGTCAAAGAGGAAGAATGACTCAGCTCTGCATCTTCTGTTCCTTTGTCTAGAATGCCTCTGCTTCCCTCCCTATCCCTCTCCACACACACACACACACACACACACACACACACACACACACACACACACACATGCCTTTGTGGAAACCAGAGGTCAACCTTGAGTATGATTCCTCAAGAGGCATAGACCTTGTTTTTTGAGACAGGCTTTCTCACTAGGACTTGAGGATTGACAATTAGGCTAGACTTGCTGGCCACTAAAACCTGGGAATCCACCTGTCTCTGCCTGCAATTATGAGCCACTGTGCCATGCCTGGCTTGTTTTTAAAAACAGGGATGCTGGGAACTGACTCAGGTCCCTGTGCACACTCCGCAGATACTTTACCAGCTGAGTTGTCTCCCTTCCACAGGATGCTTTGCCTCCAGGAATCCCCATGGCTCATTTTCTTACAGTTCCCTGCCTTACAAAAAAATCCTCAGATCAGGGTCCACAGGTCCCCACATGTCCTCAGAACCTTTTTAGAGGATGTACAAGGACATGTTACATTTCATAATAACATCATTTGTCTTGCTTCATTTTTTCATGAATACAGTGTTTTCCAGAAGCCTATATGACCTATGACGTTACAGCCAGTTGAAACAGATTTGAGGAAAGCCACCTGCTCTTTGTTGAGCTAGACTACCCAGAGGATTTGCAGCACTACGTAGCAGCACTATTCTATATGCTAATTTTGGGGAAATATAGCTATTTTCATTAAAGATGTTATCGTGTGATTATTTTATTAATTTTCAGTTTTTATTTTTTTGGGTTACTGGGGATTGAATCCAGGGCCTTGTGCTATACATGTGTCAATAAGTAAAGCAATTTAAAAGTTGGGGCTGCTCAACCCCTCCTCCCAGCCTGCCTCTGTCCTCTTGGGACTCAGCCTCCTGGTGCAGTCCCAGGATTCTCCTAGTTTTTCCTCACCACTCCCCTCCGCCACTCCTCCTACTGACGACCTCTGTGAGTCTAGTAGACCTGCAGAACTGCTTTCTACCAGGGACCTCATGACCACCACGCCGGGACCCAGATCACTGCATCTCCAGTCCTCATCAGAGAAGCTTCCTCTTGCAGTAGCTAGGGATTAACACAGAGACACACACCTGGACAGTGTGTAGACAGAGACCTTGGGGCACTCAGCAGCCCTAAATGGGGTATCTTTATTAAACTCCTCCTCTCAGGGATCTATGTAAAACAGGAGGGCAAAGGTGTGTAAGAGCCAGCGGTGGTGGATGAGTCCAAAGAAATGGCGGTTGATGACTCTAGACTGGAGTGGTACACATAAGAACTCAAGAGTGTGACAGGCAGCATGAGCAAGACCTGGGCAGGTTCAAACTGGACAAAATTCCAGCACTGAGAAGGGGAAGTGGACACAAAGGCCCCCTAACCAAGAAGCTATTTATAACTGATACCTGCCAGGAGAGGGAAAATCAGTTTTCCCCAATGGAGTGACAATAGGTATATCAAGCACACTTCAGGGAAGACTCCATGCTCAGGAGGAATTGACCAACATAAAACAGACTGAGGGGTTTTTGTGCATTTTTGTTGTTGTTGTTACGGTTTGGTGGGTTTTGTCTTCTTGGTTTCTGGCTTTTTTCTTTCTTTTTTGGGGTGGTTTTCTTTGAATCTGGGGAGAACATGAAGCTGGGTGTATAGCGGTGGGGAAGGATCCTGGAGGACTTGGGAGAGAGGAAAGAATACCAAAAGCTATTGTATGGCCAGGCAGTGGCAGTGCATGCCTTTAATCCCAGCATTTGGGAGGCAGAGGTAGAGGCAGGCGGATCTTTGTGAGTTCAAGGCCAGCCTGGTCTACAGAGCTAATTCTAGATCAGCCAAGACTACACAAAGAAACCCTGTCTTGAAAAACGAACCAAACAAACAAAATACTATTGTATAAAAAAGTTAATTTTTTAAATGTAATAATATAAAAGGGTGGGCTGAGGAGAGAGCTCAGCGCATCGTGTTTGGTGTGCAAGCATAAGGGCCTGACTTTGGATCCACATAAAGCCAGGTGCAGTGGCATGGGCCTGTAACCTTAGCGTGACGGACAGACACAGGAGGGTCCCAAGGACTTGCGGGCCAAGTGGTCTAGCCAAAATGATGAGCTCCAGGTTCAGTGAGAACAGTAGAGGATGACACCTAATGTTGACCTCTGGGTAACACACACACATATACACACATACATATGTGTGTGTACACACACATACACACATGCATACATGTGTGTACACACACACATACACACACACATACCACACAAAGAAATTTAGTAAGTTTCTTAGTTTTAATGTTGGCTATGCTGACTACTGACATCTACTGCTAATGCAAAAACAAAAGCCCTGTCTGGAAGGATGGCTTGGTGATTAAGAGCACTGGCTGCTCTTCCAGAGGACCTGGGTTTGGTTCCCAGTACCCACAAGGTGGCCAACAACCATCTGTAACTCTAGTTGTAGCAGATCCAATGCCTTCTGGTCTTCATGGACACCAGGCACACCCAGGCACGCGCGCACATAACGCGCACACACACACACACACACACACACACACACACACACACACACACACGATACACTGATATACATGTGGGCAAAACACTCATACACAAAATAATAAAATGAAAATAAAGAAAAGCCTTTCAGGTTCACAGTCTTTAAGAGCATGAGGAAAGCCAGGTGTGGTGAGAATCTAGAAGCTCAGCACTCGGGAGGCTAAAACAAGAAGACTTGTTGGAGGCCATCATGTCTGGGCTACATAATGAATACTAGACCAGCCAAGGCTACATATGAAGACTATCTCAAAACAGTTTTTTAAACCAGTGTTAATGGTTCCTACAGCAAAACATCTAAGAACTGGTGGCAACAAAATATAGCTGATCCAGGCCCAGTGATTCCCTATTCCAGCATTCAGAAGAACATCCTAGGCTATATAGTGGAACACTGTCCAAACGGAGGGAGGGAGGGAGGGAGGGAGGGAGGGAGGCAATACTATACACGTAGTCCAGCCCTCAATTCCTTCCCACTCACCCTCCTCATGGCATTCAGTAAAAAACACCGTAACTTAAAGCAGTTACCACGCATCTTCTCTGGAATGGCTGTCCTGTGCAGGGTTGGCGCTGTTGGCCCTCAGCACCAGGAACAATTACACCCAGATGTCCAGTGAGCATTCAGGGCTGAATATCCACTATGGACTGGGAGGATAGCAGGTGATCTCAATCACCCCAAGTCCTAGAGGACGGTGACAACGACCTCACGAGTCTAGTGGCTCTGGAGGCAAGAAGGGCTCTCAGAGTTGCCCATCTGGGCTGAAGTCGCTGCAGCTGGTCTCTCTGCACTGGCTGAGGTGGGCCAGCAGGGAGGGACCCCTCAGCTTGGCTAGACACCGCAGGGTTTGGGGCACCAGAGGGCATGTGTGTTAGGGAAGGTAACAATGACCTGAGGAACCATAAGAAGCAGTCCCAAGATTGCTATTAAGTAAAGGCAAAGTGCAGATGGGGTGTGAGGGCTGGGGCCAGAGAAAGGAAGGTGTCCCTTTGGAAGCCCCAGCCTTGGCCAGGGGTGAACGAGCCCTACATTCTCAGTGTTCAGGGCAGATACAGGGGTAAGAGAAAAATCCTGACTTGGCTGTGTCCCTGACCTTGACTTTAGGACTGAACTCAAGGCTAGGCCAGTTGCAGGGGGTTCTGGAAACTAACCCAGGGAAGGAGTGAGGGATTGATTACTCATCAAAATTGTTAATGCAGCACTGGTACACCACACACAACAAATGCCAGTTGTTTTCTTATGATGACTTGTATTTATTTTTGAGAAAGGGTCTCACTAGAATTTGTGGTGCTATATCATGTACCCTAATGAAATTTGCCTGAAGATCAGAGACCAGGACAAGCCACTAGATTAAACATACAGGCCAGGCGGTGGTGGCACACACCTTCAGTACTAGCACTCGAGAGGCAGAGATTCATCTGGATCTCTGTGAGTTCAAAGCCACCCTGGATTACATGAGGTTGACTCAGTCTAGGAGAGAAAGAGAGCCAGGCAGTGGGGGCACACACCTTTAATCCCAGCACTTGAGATCTCATGCCTTTGCTTGGGAAGCACACACACCTTTAATCCCAGCACTTGAGATCTCATGCCTTTGCTTGGGAAGCACACACGCCTTTAATCCTAGGAAGTAATATGGCTGGGTGGAGAAAGGTACAAGGTGTGGGGAGACAGGAACTAGAGGCTTTTCGGCAGAATCGCCCCTTTCAGCTAGGGGATTTTTCGGCTGAGGAAACTCATTTGGCTAGAGGTGTGGTGGTATTGTGTTCCCCAAAATATTGTGTATCCTAATAAACTTACCTGGGGTCAGAGAACAGAAAAGCCACTAGATGCTTGGGATAGGCAGTGGTAGCACACGCCTTTAATCCTAGCATTCCAGAGGCAGAAATCCATCTGTTCAAGTATACAGCCAAGCATGGTGACTCACATCTTTAGTCCCAAAAGGCGAGCCTTTAATCCCAGGGAGTGGTGGTAGAAAGCAGAAAGGTATATAAGGCATGAGGACCAGAAACTAGAAGCATTTGGCTGGTTAAGCTTTCAGGATTTGGAGCAGCAGTTCAGCTGAGTTTCATTCTGGATGAGGACTCAAAGGCTTCCAGTCTGAGGAAACAGGACCAGCTGAGGATCCGGCGAGGTGAGGTAGCTGTGGCTTGTTCTGTCTCTCTGATCTTCCAGTTCACCCCAATACTTGGCTCAGGTTTGATTTTATTAATAAGACCTGTTAAGATTCCTGCTACATAGAGGCCTATCGGCTGAGGCCTTTTCAGACTGAGGAGTCTTAGAGCTAAGAGGTGGCTTGTTCCTTTGTCTCTCTGATCTTTCAGCATTTACACCATTATCTGGCTCTGGGCTCTTTATTAATAAGACCTTTTAAAATTCATGTTACAAGAATTCACTATTTAGACCAGAAATCTGCCTACCTATATCTTCTGAGTGCTGGGATTAGGGGCATATACCCCTACACCCAGCCCATGATTTTGATTCTTTTCATTGAAAGAACAATGGTCTGGGGGTCTGAAGGCCTGTTCCTCTGCCCCAGTCTCTAGGACTATGAGATAAGGCAGATAGATGGGGGAGGGGAGCTTTCACCTGCTTCACATCAGGGCCAGCGTGTAGAGCAGAGGCTTCCTGGGCAGTGCTGCCGCTGGGCCTCCTGCACCTGCCTTTCATCAGAAGCCCCAGGACTGCTGCAGCCTGCTGAACTTCACCTGGGAGCACCCTGGCTCTGCTCCAGGAGGCTCCTCTGATGTCAGCTACGATAAAGGGTCTGGATGTAGTAACCAGTCCCCTCTTTATCTCTGATCAGCTGTGAGATGAGACCTCAGACCTTACTTCCTGTCTCTGAGCCCCAGTTCCCTACTGTACACTGGGAATAAAGAGTAATCCTTTATTTCTAAGAGGCACGTCGCTCTGTCTGCTGGAGGGAATTGTTCTATGAGCACTTTTAGTGGGATTCCCAGAGGAGCAGAGTAGGTAGCCCTAAGCAAGTCATACATGGACACAGGCAGTGCTACAGCCTGTTGAAGGGCTGTCCCCACTCTCACTTTGCCTAAGCAAAGGCAGAGGAACCATCCTGAGCAGAGGGTGTGAGGAACTGAGGCCTAGGGCTGCCCAGCTCCTTCCCTGAGAAGAGACTCTCCCAGCTTCCTATAAGCCATGCAAGAGCTCCAGGAATGAATGCAGTTTTCGTGAGTCGTCCCTCACCCATGCTGGGTGGGCTATTCAGCAATGCAGCTACCTGTAAGTCACCCGTGCTCCTGTAAGCCCAGTAAGCTCATTAGGCCACTAAACTCGACTTGGGTGAAGTTGTTTCCTTGGTATGTTGTCTATTCTTTATCTGGGGTTACTAGACATTTGTTCTTATCTCC